TAAATTATCATGACTTAAAGAAGTTTTAGTTATTCTGAACTTAATTCATATATTGTAATGTAATGCATTGTTTATTTCGAGACTTTTTTCAACACTTTGATTGCTCTGGAAAGGCTTTTGGATGTGTGCTGATAACCTGCAAGAGGTATTGTTTTTGCTTTTCATCTTCTGTTGTCTCTCCTCTCTTCCCACAATTAGTAACTACTTTCATTTGCCTGGCAGTTTCTCTGAACTAAATATAAATTGGATCCATTTTCCAAAGGTTGGGTGGCATTGAGAAAAAAACTTGAGCCTTCTCTGCTCCAATGTTGATGAGAAGGTCGAAAAAATGAGATGTTCAGCTTGTAACAATAATAATAATGATATCAGTGGGTTTTTCAACTTGAATGTTTTGCCTTTGATTCTCTTTGGTAACATTTTCTTTTTGATATGTTTAAGATTCTGAGCCATGGCGGCTTTTGTATGAACATCAACACAGGGGTTGAAAAAACCGAACCAATCAAATGTTCTAAAAAATACCATAGGTGTCTTTTGAAGGCTGTCATTGCTGCACCTCTAACAACATTGTTGCAGTTATAATCATTCAAAAGTTTCAACAGTCTCAAGTCATTATATGGGGTTCTTTCTGCCAAGCAAGTTTCATACGATGCCTACACCATCCACCTGGCGTGGTGCATGGCTCCAGGTGTTAGAAGTAGTATTTCTTCTGTTGGGAAGAAAGAACCAACCAAGATGAAGCACATTTGTAGAAGCTCGCCATAGTCTTGGGGTTGGGGATGGCTTTTTACAGCTTCTTTGAAGTATGCAACCATTTTATTGCCGAGATCAGTCATGGATCCACTGAAGAGCGTTTCATCAGCAGCAGCATATTTGCTTTAGTCAAATGTTGCCCACTTTTTTTTGAAATCGTTTGTATAAAACCTACATTAGGTCCAGTGGTAGCTCCAAGATATGTGGTTGCAAATACGCTGAAAAGTTCAAAAATATGGTGGCGGCATGCTATCCACACAAGGTCTTTCTTCTACAATAATTGTGCAAGCTCCAGATTTCAAACTAGTGTTTGAGGCTGCTGTATTGAACACAAGCCCATTTATTTTGTCTTTGAGATGCAAATTATCCAATAGTTCAAGGCAGGCACTAGCTAGCTCCTCACCTGTTTCCCTTATGATTTTGGGAACCCCAAGCAACTTTTCTTCTCCAGCTCCAGAAACTAGGATTGCAAATCTTTCTACCTTTACATTTGTCTGAACAATATCTGATAGGAATTTTCCATCCCAGTACAACAGAAGTGGTACCTAGGTTGAATATGATTTTTGGTCCTCGACTACCTTGGACTTGTGTGTATCCATTCTAGAACAACAGATAGTGCTACAAGAAACTGGAATGCTATCCAGATCATATCCAAGGGCTTGAGCAGCTGCAGCAATAACATAAGTAGTTTGCCAATCAATAATGTTAATGCGGTCAAGTCCGTTTATCGATATTCCTGTTGGGCCAAATGCTTTTCTTAACAACTTTCAGTTTAAACAATGAATAAACAAATGTTTAATTTAATTTTAAAAATATAGTTTACCTTGGAATCTTTATAGAATTTAAATTAGAGACAACTGTGTGTGATATAATAATTAATTAGTAAATTATAATTGACTTAATAAATAATCAATAATCATATTAATAATAATGGAGGCTCATGCAGGAAATACAAACATGACAAGAAGTGAAAGCAACTAAAAGTTGACTGAAATTAAAATTAAGTATTTAAGCAAAAAAGGTTGCTTTACAAATAATATATAAAATTATTATACATTTATTATATTTGTTATATTTCACATGAACTAAGTCTACCATTACTTAGTACTTACTCTTACACTTAGAGGTTAAAATATATAAAATGAAACCACCGAACAAAAAATGAAATAACTTCAGATAAGCCAAAAAAAATTGAAATATATATTTAAAAAATTACATAATATTTTGAGTGTCCACTAAAATTGTTTAACCTTGCACCACCTTTAAATATTACTGAATCTGTCTCATTTTTGACTTAAGGGCTCCTCTCATGTATAGAAACAAGAGCAATTATGACCCAAATTGATGTCAAAATAAGTATGCTTGGCAAATAATTTCAATGATTAAAGTCTGGGAACAAAAAGCCCTAAAATTTTGGTAACAACAGGAGAGCAACAAGTTGATAAAATATTTTTTTTACTTTTCTCTACTTAAATTTTATTCATTGATAATTTTAAAATTTCATAGACTAATCCAGCATTTAAAAGTTATAATTAAATAAAGTTTGCAACTCCATTAAGTTGAGGGGGTTACAAATTTAATAAGGTCATAATTTTTGAACGCTAAGAGATATTTGTATGTAATTTAAAATTTGTTGATGAATATTAATTAAGTTTAAAAAATTAAAAAAAAAAATTTATAAACTTATTGTTCTAGCATTGGGGGTAGTTGATGTTTTATTTCCTCATGACAATTCCATGTCAAGCCTCACTCTACTATATGCTACTTGTGCGGCCGTGGCACAGTGGTTACAGCGCTTGCTTTATAAGCAGGAAATCCAGGTTTGAAACGTTTGACCAGATCTCTGGTCATACTTTCGCGTCATGGTAAGGAAGAAGGCTTGAACTTCCTGGTTAAATGCACTTCTGCGGTGCCCAAAGACAAGACCTTTAGGTCTACTTGGAGTACCTAAATAAAAAAAGTATATATTTTTCCTCTCATTATTCTGCTTCAATTTCCAATCGTAACCATTACATCGATACCTATTGCCAAAACAATTCTTTAGAAAACAGACGACTGTTTAATATTGCTAGAAACCATTGTAGAAGATTTTGTTAGATGCCAAAGCTCATATGTCACATAATCTTGTTTTTCATATTAAAAATTAGGCTCAGAATTATTAAGAAATAAAGACATTGAAAAATTATTTCACCACTTATTTTAAATTTCCCAGTGAAGACTTTTTATTTAAAACTACAATTAACCCACAGTCTAGAGCTCTATGAAAATAACATTAACCCACAGTCTAGAGCTCTATGAAAATAAAGATGCAACAATGAAAAGACTCGACACATTTGGAAGGAACGCAGTTAAACCAATTTTTAATGTCTCCAAGTATAGTAAAAACTATATACACTCTCTATTTAAAATTAAGGAGATATCAAATTATATACACCAAAACAAAATAAATCTATTTATCCGCCTTTTAAACAATAAAGTAACCTTTGAAATCATTAACTCCCAACTTAACTACTGTTCAGCTAAATTTTCTTTTTTAGATGATATAAAAGAATTATGTGATAATCATAAACTGAATATGAAAACCTTAATGCTTGTTAAAAAAAAGTAAAACTTAAAGTCTTAGAGGATGTAATTCCTGAAGCTACTCTTCATATTTTGGTACATGCGATTCAATATTGGAATCTAAAAGAACAGCGAACAATTTTTAAAAAGACACTTGAAGAAAACATTCCTAAATAATGCTTTTTTTATTTTTTTTTTTCTAAGTTTGTGTTTTTACCTTGTAAATTTATTTTACAGAGGGTGATTAATAAAATATTAATAACAGTAATAATAATAATAACGATTTTTTCGGGGTTTTGTTGGGCATTTAAAAATAAAAACAATAATCATGTTAAATTTAATTAATAAAACCAATATATTAACAAGAAAAGATTAATACTTCCCAGAATAATTTTGATTAGTAGCGATTCCCAAAATTACCAAAGGCACACATAAAGAACGTACCTGCAGAGAATATATATAAATACTATAAGGGGATTTAATTACACCATTTCTTGACACCATTTTTGAAATCAAAATAAAATTTCTTCATAACAGAAGCATACTGATCTTAGAATCTTAGAATCCAATATAATTATATCTACCACTACTCTCATTATATCAGCAAAAATCTCAGCATTTTTTTAATGCCCTTCTAGCAGTGTTCCGTCATTAGTCTTGCCAAAATCTTGTTATGGCATATCAACTATAAGACTTCTTCTCTAAGCCTCTTTTGAATAGTTTCTTTCTATTTTTTACTGATGTTTTTTCATTTTTTAATGTCTATCTTGTATCTTAAATGAAAATTTTCTAAAAAAATCTGAGCCAGCAATGTAGAGTAGAAAGCTCCAAATATAAAACTTAATTATTGACTGGTTCAGATCTGATCAATGCACAGTGGGCCAAAATCATTATTAGCTGGACAAAAGTATTAACTTTCAAAGTATTAATCAGATTTTCTCCATAATCGCCAGATTGAGTATATTTCATACTAAGAAGTTAATGGAACCATTTGATTGTTTTAGTTGCTATGGATAACTATATCCCATAGCAACATAGCATTTTGCATAATAACCTAAATTAAGAAATTTTCTTAAAATGTCAAATTTGTAAACTAAACTGATATTAATGCTCAATGCTATTTTATGTATTTAAATGATAACACAAACAAAAAATTACTAATTTTTGGTGTTGCTAACTCCTACAAAATAGTTTATGCCCCATCCGGGAAAACTAAAACTCTACGCCTATGCCTATGTAGGCATTTTGAGTGGACCGCTTAAGTTTTGCTCATCTATTACTTAGCGGACCATTAGTGGCAACCGTCGAAAGTAGCTAGCCGATTATCACTATTAAAATGTCGTAAAATTATCGGCTTGCCATTTATAGCGGCTGTCACTAATGTTCGACTAAGAAACCACTAAAAAATTTTAAATTGTTTTTAAAAAATCTAAGTTTTCAGACATGGATTTTTATAGTTTTGTTCACCTATTGGCTCTCTGTGCAATGCTAGACTATTAAGTTCACTAAGCTCCCCATCTAATGTTACAATATAAATTAAAAAACCTGCTACATATTTCCACAAAAAAAAAGTTTATTTAAGCTTGAGATTCTCAAAGCTTATATAACCAAACTTTTTGGCGGTTTTACATTTACAGTATTGTTTTTTGATTTGAAAAAGAAGTGTATTTTGCATTATTTATTTACAGGGAGCTTCGGAATCTTCTTGTGAAAAAAAAGTGACTTTTGGACCAATTGTTTTTAATACCGGTGATCAACACGTGATTGATAATTGTTCTAAAATTGTTTTTCCTTTGGCTTTTTTATTTTTCAATGTACTTTACTTTGTTTATCACAATGTTCATCCTGAAACTGTAAAGAGGTTTACAGCCTGGTAATATGTGCTTTAAAATTTAATATTTGAACAATACTTTATAAAAAAAACTTTAAAAAAGTGTAAATTACTACAGTTGTTTTTATTTGATTTTTTTTACTCGTTTAATAATAACCGAAGTGTATTTTTAAATGCGAAAATAAAATCTAGAAATAATATTTTAAAATGTGCCTAAAGTATTTTGTTTTAGTTTTGTTCAAAAACGTTTTTTTATAAGGTAAGGTTTGAGTGTTAACACTCGTTTGGATTTTTAATTAAAAAAGGTTTTAGTTTTAATGTGGCTTTTTAAATTTTTATAAATGAAAACATTTTGTTAGTTGATTTGATTTAAAAAGCGAGTCGATTCTGCGCGATAAGGTAGAGTTTCAAATCTAAAAGAGTTAATTATCTAATTTGCAAACAAGTCCTTAAGTGAATTATTATTTTTTTAAAGCTTCTAGTTAGGTGAGGCAATTCTTGAACTTAGCCTGTAAGTACATTAATAAATATACCAAATTACAAAACTGTTTACTTTTAAATTATCTGTTCAGAAATTTTTCCCTCAACTTTATAATTCCAAAACATGAACCTTGACAAACAAGGCCGCTGCGCGAAGAAACAAGCTGAGCGCGGTACTAACAGGGACGTGGTGCGATTCCCACCAACGTGGAACTTCTTGCTTCTGAGGCAGGCGCTCAACAACTACACCACTACCGCATTTTACTGAACATTTATATCACAAATGTGTTTTCTAAGTTCATTTTTAGATAAATTATTATAATCTAACACAGCTTGTTCATTTATAACATGTTTAACCTTTTTATAAAGATATTTTAAATGCAATCTCTTTACATAAAAATCTTCCTATACTTTTTAAAATTTTATATGCAGTTTTTTTACACAAAAAAAATCTTTGTTAACAATTCTACAAAAATAATACACAACAAAACTTGTTAATTTAAAAAACATTTTATTCTTTGTATTTTGTGAATGTTTTACGCCGTAGCACAGTGGTCTGAAAAACTTATGTTATTTTTATTATTTTTATAATAAAACATTGTCCAGGCAATTCAAAAATATAAAGGTTTCATATTTTTTCTTGAAAGAAAAGTCAATAACCGTATCCAAGTGCGATTAAAAACCGCTGAATAATTTCTTGCAAAAATTCAACATTTTTTTTATTTATGTATAAATTTTAAACTATATGCACATATCTAAAGTTTTTTTTTAAAGCAAATTTTATAGTATAGAGTTTAATTTGAAATAATAATAATTTTTTATTATTGTAAATTTGCATAAGTTATTTATGTTTGAAACTAGCATAAAATAAAAGGTTTTTTTTTTCTATTTCAACTTCTTCCAAAAACTAAAGTCCTGCCTCATAAGCAAGAAACTGATATGATTTTATTAAATCCTAATATGCATACATTATTCAAAAAAAATCAGCTGCAGATAATATTATTTAAACCAATTTTAAAGTTCCCAAAATATACCTTTTTTATGTTATCAAAAATACTAGTGTCTCTACCTTTGTTTTATTTTTAACATACATGTTCAAAAACATTTTTTTTTTCTTTATACAATCGTACTTGCTACCTAAATTGTTAAAAATAGTTCAAATATTGATTTTTATTTTATTTTTATAAAATATTCCATATATTTAACTACACCTTTTCAAGATGTAATTGAGAAAACAAAAATTGTAATTAAGAATCGTAAGATGTAATTGAGAAAACAAAAGTTGTAATTAAGAAACGTAAGATGTAATTGAGAAAACGTAAGTTGTAATTAAAAAACATAAGATGTAATTTAGAAAAAGAAAATTGTAATTAAGAATCGTAACATGTAATTGAGAAAATGTAAGTTGTAATTAAGAAATAGAAAGATGTAATTGAGAAAACGAAAATTTTAATTTAGATATCGCTTTAAAGGAGTAAGTGTAAAACGGCGCTTAAAAGAAATGGCGCGTAAAAAAATGGAGCGTATAAAAGGACGCACTTAAAAATGACGCAAGATTTGTAGCGTAAATTTAATTTTTTAGGGAAAAATTTATAATTTTTGGGCAAATGAATTTAACATAATAAACACTATAAACATTTTAGGGAAAAATTTATAATTCAATTAAAAATTATAATTAAAAATTATATAATTAAAAATCACTACATTGATCATTTAAGCACCAACTTGTACGTCTTCCATATTTAAAATAGTTGCATAGTGCATGGTTGTGTGTTGTACCGCACGTGCACAATCTCCTCCCATTATAGTATTTTTCGCCTCAATTACAATTCGTTCTAAGTACTGCATGCGCTGTTCCGCAATCCCGTCACCTAATACAGGTGGAATGCGAATTGCATTTTTAACGTTACTTTTAATTTTGGACCAGATCGTTTCCAACTGGTTCAACATTGGACTGTAAGGTCCCAAACGTAACAACTGAGCTGGTGAATTATGAAACACCCTTTGCAAACGAGCGTGACAAGGAGCATTATCTGTTACGACGATCAAATCCTCCAAACGATTCCCGGATGTAACCCACTGGTGAAACATAGCCAACGTCGACTCGTTACAGGAATCTGCTTTAAATGATCCCCTGCGAGTTTCTATCATGACGACATTTGTAGTTGAAATAGCTGCGATCAAGTGTATGTTTAAACCTTTTGAAGCAGGTACTTTCATAATTGCTCTTTTTCCTTGTCTCGCGCGTCCTTGCGTTTTTCTACAAAAAAGGTTAAAATTTGTTTCATCCAACCAAACGACCATTTGTGACGACCATTTGTGATATGTTCGCATCTAGAATCTTCCAGAACAGGTTCATACAGGTTCATTTTACTATATAAGAGACATGTAAACCGAAATGTAATTCAGTCAGTATATGGAAGTCAATCAGTCAGTATTATCAAGACAGTTTATTGAAGTGAGTTTTATCAAAGTGTTTTATCAAAGAACATCAATACAAGAAGTGAAATACGACAAGTGTTTCATTACATCAATACAGTCCACATTCCACAGATTGTATCATCACAAAGTAAGTGTAACACGGTAAGCCTTGAGAAGCGTGATTATTTATTTTCATTATTTTTATGACTTCAAGTGCAAAAATGGCTCCCGACAGTCTTAGATTGGAACTAAGAAAGAAAATTATTGGCGATTACGTAAGTGGAATGTCACAAAAAAGTATTTGTGATAAATATCGCGTGAAAAAATGGACCGTATCAAGACTATGTTCCAAATATCGTTCTACGGGGAAGTTGGTAGCAGATGACAAATGTGGAAGACTGCGCTCCACCACTTCTAGAGAGGATTCTATGATCGTCAAATCCGTCGAGAAGGATCCCTGGATATCATTAGTCGAGATACAAAAGCAATTAGAGCTCTCTGGATATCATCAGTCGAGATATAAAAGCAATTAGATCCCTGGATATCATTAGTCGAGATACAAAAGCAATTGCCTGTATCGTACCGAACAATCAGACGACGTGCTGTTGAAGCCGGATTGTTTTCTCGACGCCCTGCAAAGAAACCGCTGATTTCACTAAAGAGCCAAAATAAAAGACCTGTTTGCTACATCTCATATTGACTGGAATGTGCAGAAATGGCGAACTTTCCTGTTCAGTGATGAATCGAAGTTCAACATCAATGGGAGCAATGGTATTTGCCGTGTACGTCGACCGGCTGGAAAACGCCTCGATTTACGTTACTACCATAAGACTGCGAAGCATGGTCGAGGCAATGTAATGGTCTGGGGGTGTTTTCCTGCTAATGGTCTAGGTCAAAAACAAATTTGTGTCATCTGCAAAATTTATTGGTGTTAAATTTAATGATTTATGAAGATTATTTATGTATATTAAAAAAAGTAAGAAAACCAAGTTGGATCCTTGCAGAACACCATATTCATGGTGGTAGCAGGGTAAAAACACTTTTTTTTAAAATGTCAAAATAATTCAATATGCTTTATTGTAATGAAAAATACTATTTAAAAAAAAACATTTAACACTATTTGCATAAAAAATTAATAATAACGTCATCAATTGTACACGTCATGAACAGATTTTTGCCTTAATTTTATGTTTCTTCCAACAAGGATAACTTAATGAAAAATGATCAGAATCACTTTTAATTTTCTAATTGCAATCTTTATTAGTAATACTATGTTCTGAGCAAAACAGAAAAAAAAATTTTTTTTTAAGTTTTTATATATTTTTTTTTAAACTTTTTAAATTTTTTAGGTTCACTGTCAAACTTTAAATTTCAAAAAAAGTAAAATATGTTTATGTAAAAATAGCACTGCTAGCAATGTTTTTAAAAAAATTTTAAAAGTGCTTCGCTCAGAACACTCTAAATAGAACAATGTAACAACAACAAAAAATTCAGCTTAGTAGCTTTATCCAATCAAAAGTTATCTTTGTTAAAAGACCACAAAAATTGTGAAAAATTAAAGGCAAGAAAAACCTTAAAGAAAAAATAAATAAAGTTAAATGAAACAATAAAACTCAAAAACCAAATTAAAATGCTCCACTACCATATGTCTCTCCTTCCTCAAGTTCATTTTTATCGTTATGACCTTTTCTAATTGAAAGAAGTTTCTTTCTTTGTTTTACAGAGCTGGTTGACTTTTTCTCAGATTGTTTGACACGACAAATATCAGATAATCTAAAACCTTCTTTAGTGAAATACCCATTGTCTATGCCCAGTTTGTTAAAAATTGTAAGCAGTCCTTGGGCACCATGCAATAACAGCAGATGCAACTGCAGTTTTAAAAACATCATTTCCAATGTATACCCTTTTGGGGCACCGTGTCCATATCAAATTGTTCAAAGACTCATTGACATTCTGGGTCTCACCGTGTAAACATTTTGTCAGAAGTTCATCACTACCAAGACCTCTGTGAGAAAATATTCTGCACCAAGAATCAGAGCTACGTGGACAGAACTGGTGTCGATTTTCTAAATTTGGCTCATCTGTTGCAATTGTGTGAAACCGCAGCAACAGCCTTTTTCATCCCATACAGGTTGCCACTATTTTGTCGTATGGCCATTCCAACATGGTTTTGAAGAGTGTTCATGACTTTATTAGTTAGCCGACCTTTCC